CAGGGGGACAAGTTTTGTCTCCTCAGTGGCCTATTTTCCCAAGGCCTTAGCTCCAGCCTTGGGGCCCTCTCACCTGTCGGTGAGGCTTCAGTCCCTGAAACCAGGCAGGATGGTTCCCAACATTCATTTAGATAGGCCTGAACACAGTGAGCACTTATTCAATGTTAACTAATGGACTAGAGCAGTGATTTTCAACCGATATGCCTTAAGAATTTTTTTCAAAGATTTTATTTATTTATTTTAGAGAGAGAGGAAGGGAGGGAGAAAGAGAGGGAATGAAACATCAGTGTGTGGTTGCCTCTTGCGCACCCCCAACTGGGGACCTGGCCCACAACCCAGGCATGTGCCCTCACTCGGAATCGAACCAGCAACCCTTTGGTCTGCAGGCTGGCACTCAGACAACTGAGCCACACCAGCCAGAGCACCATAAGAATTTTTAAAACATGCAATACCTGACTATTTAGTCAGGGGCACTGACCTCTTTTCCTTTAGATTGTCAAATAAAAAAATGACAGCAGCCAACACAACAATAGTTGTCCTGTGTGAATGAATCAAAACTATACCTATTTTTTTTTGGTCAGGTCATCAAAAAATATATTTTTCAGTGTTTTGCAGAACTTAGTAATTAGTTTATGTGTGCCATGAGGTGAACAAGGTTGAAAATTGCTGGACTAGAACATCTAAAAAAAGCTCAGACTTTGTATTTTTACCTAAAGAATCACCTAGTTGTGTCAACAAGTCAATAATAATAATAGTTGTTTTACTGTCTTTTGAATTTTGTCATAGTAGTCAGCTTTTTGAACAATTTGTGATTCATTGTGATTTTATTTCTTATTTTAAATAAATGTTTATTTTTGTACCTAAAAAGAGTTGTCTAGTAAATTCATGTATGATTCTGTTCATACATTTTGAATTAGGAAGAAATTATTCCTTTTAAGTTTATTTATCATAACTGAGAATTAAATAATCCTTTACCTCTTCTGCATGGATTCAGCTGTAGGTTCTGGGGAAGCTCAAAGGAGAAGGAGGTGTCACCTTCTCAGCCTGGTGAGGATAGAGAAGGCATCTTGCGGGTTTTATTTCATTCCATGTTCATGATTCATTTTTATAAGTCTACTCCTGACCCAACTTTTGGACAGTCCCACCTGGATGTCCCCAGATACCACAATCCCAACACATTCAACCCTAAATCTCCCGCGATGCCCACAGCAATTAGGAAGTCATCCCAGATGCCTCTTTCCCCTCGCTTCTTGCCTCATGCAGGATCCTGAAGGAAACGGATCAGGCAGCAGTGAAACGGCTCCCCTGGGAGTAAGCAAGTGAGTGCAGGGTGGGTTTGAGAACTCAGGAGGCGTGGAGCCTGGACAGCCTGTGCTGGAGACGGCTGAGTGGACTTTGAGAGAGTGTCTGACCTTTCTTCTTTGACTGTTTTCCAGAGCCAATGTCAAAAACAAAGCCTTGTGACAGATTGGCCAACTGGGAAAACTTTGGACTTTCCTCCCACCCTCAGACACCCTTCAGGCACTCAAGGGAGAGAAGCAAAAATAAGGTCTCCTGCTCTGCTCTCCTGAAGTGTGCAGGGCAGCCAGCCAACTGGCTGACAGGAGACCTGGCGATTAAGTAAACAGGATTGTACTGAGGGCGTGAGCTCAGATGTGCAGGTGGAAATGGGAGAAGGTGGGCTTTGAAGACCTGGGGCATGGATGACCACCTTCCCCAAGCCCTGCCTGCTGTCCCTGACTGTAAGGCAGGGGGACATGGCTTTCTACTCATCTACAGTTGACAGAATGAAGCCTATAACATTGCTGGAATCCTACTTCACTTCTATATTCCAACCTTTAAAGGAGCAATTTTCTTAATATTGGCATGAAAACAAGGGAAATACAACTTTCCTCCAAAACAATAAAAACTTTACCCTTTCAAAAGGAAAAGGACAAGTTGTCCAAAACTGGTTCTACCATACTGTGAGCTAATTATAGGAAAAGAACTTTGATATTCTTTTGTAATAAGAGCTAACTCACTCTGATCCAGGTACTCTCTGTAGGAGTAACTTCATTAAACAGGGGAGGGAATTGAGGGCACTAGAGGTTATATAATTACCCCAAGACCACAAAGCTGGAGAGTATCCTGGAGTTGTACGTGGACAGGTGCTGCTAGGATCTGAGTTCTTCACCACTGCACCACTCAGGTTGGCTGGAAGAGGGAAAAGGCATCTGCCCGATTTCTCCTCATGTTAAGGCCAGTGCTACAGCCCATGCCAGATGTACTGAGGGCGTGAACTTAGATGTGCAGGTAGAAGTAGAGAAAAGGGGACCATTAAGATATATTTAGAAATACTTTTAGGCTAATTTTATAAAATATATTTAGGAAAGGCAAGATAACATTTAGGATGCTACAGGCACCTAAGATGAATTCCATGTTCCCACAGTTTTTCCTGAAGTGTTTACATGATTTATTCGGAGCTAGAGGGAGATAGAGGGAGATAGAGGGAGAATGTATGTGTGAACTATTTATGAAAATGTGAAAAAAAATACTAGAAAACTGAAATAACTACAATCAAGAACAGTTACTCAACTCTTAGATTCTTATTACTATCACTCACAGATAAGGAATCCCATTGAGGAAACCTTGAATGTGCCTGCTTGGGCTGTGGGGATAAAAGTGAATGTTCCAGAACTCGGAGGAGCTAAGAAATTTTGATAAATGAGAAATAGGATAAATGAAAGAATATCACCACTGAAATTTGAGACAGAAAAGATGATTAAGTAAACAGGACTGAGGGTGTGAGCTCAGATGGGCAGATGGACGTGGGAGAAGGTGGGCTTTGAAGACCTGGGACATGGACCACCACCTTCTCTGAGCCCTGCCTGCTGTCCCCGACTGTAAGGCAGGGGAAGTGGCTTTCTACTCATCTGCAATTGACAGAATGAAGCCAATAACATTGCTGGAATCCTACTTCACTTCTATATTCCAGCCTTCTCCAAGGTTTTGTAACCAACAATAAGCAAGGTTTTGTTTTTTGTTGTTGTTGTTTTAGTAGCCATGCTGTGATCACTTTCTAAAACACTGTGAGCTCCACAGCTGTGCTTAGGAATATATTAACAAATTTAAGGGATTATTTTAACATGGTCTTGTGCTTAAGTGGCATGCCTCCTGCAGAGAGCGGAGTCCGGAGCCAAGCTGAGTAGTAAGGGTGATTAGAATTAGCAAGAAAGAGGTCAGAAAAGGAAATGAGAGGTATTTAAATTCTCCACCAAGTGTGTTCCGCTACTAAGGAAAAACCAGGCTGTGGGCACAGTACCCTCTAGTGTCCTGGAAAGTCACTGCAGCCTTGCTACTGTAGTAGGCTTCCGTCCGTTAACTCCAGCAAATATTTACAGCAGTAATTCCTAGTGACATCCAGTACCTACTTGCTGTGCCCATCAGTGGCTGTGAGCTGGAATCTTACTCCCTCTCCACCCTCGAATGGGGTGTTCAGGCCTGGCCTGGTTGGAGGCAGACTATGAATAGTATTCTGAAGACTTCTCAGTGCCTGGGAAGTTACGTTCTAGTGCCTTTAGGGGGCAGGGTAGGATGCTGTTCTGCCTGTTTTAACCTACAGCTTAAAAATTCTAAATTTCACGTACAGTATAACAGAAACATAACTACACATCAGTCCCTGATGCTGTATAATGTCAGATGTGAGACCACCAACTTCTTTTTTTCCCCTAACAACTTCTTTGGAAAAGATTTTAGTCATAGCTATCCTGTGTTGACCATTTCTAAATGTATTCCCTACCCTCTTCTCTCCCTGCCTTCCTCCCATCAGCCTTCCTTCCTTCTAGATTTAGCCAGTTTAAATTATTAAGAGATGAAAAACTGCCTTGAGTTCCTCTGCCCTTATCAGGCTGCTCTGGATGTAGCTCGTTATCTTGTTAGCTAAATAGCCCCAGTGTTGTTTATTGCTACCCGTAAAAGCATTTTGGGGAGGCAAGCTTTGAGTAGTGCCTCCTTCCCAGAGTGCTCTGTGTGCAGCCCAGCTCCGACCTTCTCATCATCCAATTGACAGCTCCTTGTATCATCCCTGAAGGAGAAGAGGCATAGTCCACCTTGGGGGCACAGTGGGATGCATTGAGGTAGGTTTGCGAATCAGACACAACTGGGTTTAGTCCTGATTTATCCACTCTCTGGCACCGTGATCTTGACCAAGTTGTTGCACTTTCCAGCCTCAGGTATCCCCTCTGCAAACTGTGGGCCATGGTGAAGGCCATGTGCCATGATGCGTATAAAGCCCAGAACACTGGCCCATCGTAGGTCCTATGAATATTTCATATCCTTTCCTCTTCTAGGCTGCCTTCAAAGAATTAATAAAATAAACATTTGGATTTGACCACTCACTATCTTTCCTCATCGCCAGAGATTTCCTAGCCAGTTGGCATTGAGGGAAAATAATAATAGCTATGAACCGGAATAACTCAGATTGCTCTTTCAGCCTGTGAGAGTTCAAATACAGATCCCATGTATTCCGGGGGGGGCCTCTAAAACTCCACAGGAGATGTTTTGAAAGAGAGGACCAAGTGTTGGTCTGTGCCCTGATGGAAAGGGAAAAGCACAGCCTCACACTTCCAACCTCTGCAGCTGCTAGAAACATCCTTGTCCTTTCCCGGTCCAAGTTTGCCAGACCAGACAAATCTGTATCTAACAATGCGTGTTTTCAGGAGAGAAGGATCTGACAAGGAAGACAGATTTAGGGGAGCAGCCCAAACATCTTTCCTTCCTGGGGATGCACATCGTATACTTTTTTTTCTGAGTCCTGGGCAAAGTGCAGGGTTGAGTGGGGTGAGGACAGCATTGCTCAGTGTAGCCCCTCAGGCACCCACCCAGCAATGGTATAGGCCCAGCCTGTGTTAATTTTAAGACCTATTTTAATGAAACTCCACTTTAATTTTTACAAATTGAAAATGTCCATAAGGTAAATTTATTATGCATGCTAAATGATTTCTCTACTTTGTTTCCTTTAGGAGAACCATCCTATCCCTGAACCAGGCCCAAATGGTAGGTCCTTGGTATACTCAACTTATATTTTCTTGTTTCCCCTGGAGACTCATGTGCATTGCCCCCTCACCCCTCTCCTGCTACAATTTGCGCTTTTGCCTCAATTAAGAACTATGCTTTTGTTAGGCTTTCCACTTTGCCCATTGTCTACAGACTCCACTTGGCTGCGACATGCACTATAAGAAGTAGCCGTAGAACGAGAATGGTTCCAATATCTCACTGCTTCCTTGTCCTAAAGAATTTTTGGCATAACGTGTCTTCAATTTACAGAATTGTTCTTCTTTTGATCTTAGGTTACTCTATCCACTGTAAGCCACTATTTGGGTGGCTGACTCCAAATTTTGAAAAGGAATGAGTCTAAAGAATGTAATGTTTTAGTTAGAAAGAGGAGCATCTTGCCAGGAAGACCAAGACCTTCCATGCAGGGGGTATGGGAGGAGATAGCAGTCCTGTCCCACTGCCCTAATCAACCAGGTGCAGAAAGCGGGTGTGCATACTGGGGCAGGGTTCCCGTCACCTTTGCTCCACTCTTTCTGGCCTCTTACTGTGCGAGCCTGCAGCTGAGCTGGCACACACGTTTCCTGGGTGGTGTCTGTACCTGGGGAGGTCATGCCATCCTATTGGTTAAGGCAGATCCCTGCTGACAGTTTTCTAATCCCTTCCACCCCTGGAGTCCCACGACATGACCTGCAGGACCCTGAGGTGAGGCTGGGAGCAAGGGTCAGAGTGTCTACAGGTAGCTCATCTCACACTCAGCCAGCCAGGTCCCCTTTCTGTCCGTGATAATTTGGGATGTGCTGCCCACCTTAACTCAACTATAGCTTCCATGTGAACATCAGACTGAAGGTAGCTTTCCTGGAGCCTCCAGGCCTTTGCTACTGAAAGGTCAGTTGAGTTATTGATTTACAGTGATAAGAATACAGACAAGAGCCGTTTCTATCAGTATTTAGTGACTCATGTATAGTTAGGGCTTTAGTGTTTTTATTGAGATACCATTTTTAGAATAGTGAAAGAGACAGCTCACTGTGTCCTGAAAAGTTGGTGTTGATTCTAGAGGTGGCCAAACAAGGGCTATCTTGGACTCAAAGGGTCTTGGTACTGCTTGCCTGTGTGTCAGCTTGGCTAGGTGTGGTGCCCAGTTGTTTGGCCAATTGCTAGATGTGGCTTGTGCCTTGCTGTCCTTGAATTAGAGGGGGAAACAATGGTACATTTCAGCTAGAGTTTTAGCAAGTCGAATTTAACTTATTACAAATTGGCAACTTCAACAGAGGAAACTTTGAGATAATTTTCTTAACTCAAATGACTTTTCCCTATCTTGGATCTCAGAATTCACTATGTCATTTCTTACAATGTTCACCAAAACTAAAGATGGAGAAAATTCTACAGAACCACACCTGGTGGACTGCCCATGGTTTGTGTCAAGGAAAGTGTAAGACACCTGAATGCATAGAACAGTTTGAGGTGTCTTTGTTTTTCTCAGGAAGATACTTGTAACATGGTCATCTCAGTCAGACTAGGCCAGTAATCCTTTAGGATTTATTTCAGCAAAGGGGCTCAGTGGCATCATTATCTTAAACTTGGAAAACTCACAAAAACAACACCACCAAATGTCAAAATATTCAAACCTGTGAAAGTTGAAATGCCAGTTGAAATATGTGAGCAGTTTAAATTGACACTACGCTTTTAAACAAAACAACAAGCATGAAAACATAGCCTGATAGCTCACAAAGTACTGCCAAGCCTAACTTCTGCCAGCTTCCCTTTCATGAGTAGATAAGAATCAGGCATAGCATATTAACAGTTATATCCTAGAAACCAGTTTTTTTCTCTTATATGGTTGATATATTTCTTCCTACTAATAATTTCTTGTTTATGCCGTGTATTAGTCAGCGTTCTCCAGAGAAACAGAACCGAGAGAGATTTATCATACATATATATAGATGGCAGTGGGAGATTTATTTTTAAGAATTGGCTCACAGGATTGTGGGAGCTGGCAAGTCTGAAATTTGTAGGGCTGACCAGCAGTTTGGGAATTCAGGTAAAATGGATGACACAGTCTTGAGAAGCACTTAAGATTTATTCTCTTAGCAATTCTCAAATATACACAGGATTATTAATTGTAGCCACCATAATGTACATTAAATCCTCATGACTTACTTTAAAACTGGAAGTTTGTGCCTTTTGGCCCTCTGCACCCATTTCATCTATCCCCTGCCCCCTGCCCCTGGCAACCACCAATCTGTTCTCTGTATCTGTGAGCTTGCTTTTTTCTTTTTGTTGTTTCTGTTTATTTAGATTCCACATATAAGTAAGATCATACAGTATTTGTCTTTCTCTGTCTGACTTATTTCACTAAGCATAATACTCTCAAGGTCCATCCATGTTGGAAGATTTCTCTTTTTTTATGGCTGAATAATATTTTGTTGTGTATATATACTACATTTCCTTTATCCATTGATGGACATTTAGGTTGTTTTCATATCTTAAACATTAATCATGCCTGGAAAATACCTTCACAGCACCATCTAGTGATTAACCAAACAACTGGGCACACAGCCAAGTTGGCACATAGCATTAACCCTCGCATGCAGTTATTTTGCTCTGTGGAAGCTTTCTTGCCTTGCAAGATTCAATTTATCTTGTTTTCCTCTGTGGTCTAAACTTTGTATCTGGCCTTTGAAACCAAGGCCTCTCCTTCGTCCAGAGGAGCATGGCCAGGGTGCCTCAGGGTGATACAGGGGTCATTCCCTCCTTCATTTGTTTCTCCTTTTTCTTATCAGAGGTGCTGCTGAGGATGCATTCCGTTGGGATCTGTGGCTCAGATGTCCACTACTGGCAGCATGGTCGAATTGGAGATTTTATTGTGAAAAAGCCAATGGTGCTGGGCCATGAAGCTTCAGGAACAGTCGTAAAAGTGGGATCATTGGTAACACACCTACAACCAGGTCAGCAAAGCCCTTCAGCTAATGGATCAACTTATTCATTCAACATCAATATTTGTGCATGCTTTTTCAGGGCTGAGCTCTCTGCTGAACCCTGGGGATGCAAGAGACAAGACAGTCTCAGGTCCGAAAGACATGGATGTTACTTTTCACAGTGGGAGACAGAGCTGGGACACACAGGCAGTTACTTATGTAAAATTGTGTTGAGGGCAGCAGAGAAGAATACAGGGTGCAATCGGTGTGTTCTACTCAGACTGCTGGCTTGTCTGAGGAAGGGATAAGTAAGCCAACACCTGCAGGATAGTACCCAATAAGCCAGGAGAAGGAGTAGGGAAAACGTTCCAGGCCCAGGAACCACAAACTGCTTCCACATACTAACAACCAGGGCCTTCGATACAGTCTTTGGTTTTATTGGATGACCAGGAAATCACCAGCATGTTCCTAGATTTGCTTAATTCATTCCCTCAGAGGGAGGAATGCTCAGCTGTGGCAGACTGTGATATGTTCCCCAACACAGGGAATTAAATCCAAGCTGTTCCGGCATAGTTAGCCTTTGGCTTTAACCTTACTTTGCTTATGAGGCCACTGTACAGCCTGGAGATGATGTCAGATTATTGGGAGGAGGGAGGAGGTTGGTAGAGGGTGCCAGCCTGTGTTAGAAGGCTTTCCAAGCCCAGTTGTATGGGGAGGGATCAACCAGCTCGGAAGGAGCTAGACGTGTGTCTCATTTAGGAATGTTAAGTGAGTCTCTACATCAGCAGTCAAGTTGAGAAAGCCCCTGAGGCTTTGCAGGTTTCTTCTGAAGTGGAAGGTTCATAGCTTCCAACAGCCACTGATTGGTTATTAGTTGTGAGAGGAGGTCTCTAAATATATGTCATAACAAGGAGTGGGGTTCTCTAAATTTAAGTTATAACAGGTGCTTAGTCAGCATCGACAAATGGTCCGGCCTGAGCCAGGTGCTTTGAGGGATGTAGAAAGTGGAGATGATAAGATCCATGGATGCTTCAATCTAGTTGGGGAGACCATATGTCAGGATGTATAGGCAAATACTAACACTTAGAGAACAAGACCATAGGGTGAAATCAGTAAAGAATAGGCTCTAGAAGTTCAAAGAAAGGACATTTGTCATGGGTGGAGGTGTGTGAGGAAGGTTTGTGAAGGAAATTAGGTGTTTGAGGTAGACATTTAACAATAATACTTATAAGAAGAAGTGGGCAGATAACATTTATTGCTCTACTATTGTTAATCTCCATGTTAAATTCACGTAAAATTACTTACTTCGTTCTTGCAGCTATGCATTCATTATTCTCATTAATGTGTGAAGAAAATGAAGCATGGCAATTGCCCAGGGTCACACACTAGTTAGTGTTAGAGCTAGAGCGCCTGCCTTGGTCCTTCTGACTCTGGAGCAAGTGCTCAGAACCATTGAACTGCCCAGCATGTAGAGACTTGAAAGATTTTGTATTTGAGTTAGTGAAGAGATCAGAAGCTAATATTCCAATTAAAAGGAATAGAATAATAAAATTACAGATGTAAGAGTTACATATCTGGGTTGTTACTAAGTCTATCCTACTCAGAAGAGAGGTCTGTCTTAGGGAGATAGTGAAAATGATAAAATTGCATAATCTGTATGAAAAAATCTTTCTTTAAAAAGCACCATACACTGACCCTGGGAGGGTAGCTCAGTTGGTTGATCGTTGTCCCAATACACCAAGTTTGCATATTGGGATGATTCCAATATGTCCCAGTATGTCCAAGGTTCGATCCTGGGTCAAGGCACATAAAATTAACCAATGAGTGCATAAATAGGTGGAAAAACAAATCAATGTCTCTCAGTCTCCCTTATTCTCTATCTCTAAAAACCAATCAATAAAAAAGCACCTATATCTGAGTTATTATAATATTATTATGATATAATAATAATTAGAAGACAAAGATGAATAATATAAACTCCACATAATTATGGAGGATCTTGAATGCTCATTTGAAGAATTCATTGCCAGTTCTAGAAGCTGCAGAGAAAGCTGGTCGGATAGTAGTTGCAGGGATTTCTGTGGGTTCTTTATTTTTAAAATACAAAATTTTACTCCAGTGTTTCATTTGCTAACTTTGACTTAAAGCTCTAATCAACTAATCTAGAAAGAGGAAAACCAGTCATTGAGTAGTTCTTGATATACTTGTTTATAAAATTTAAACAAATATTAAAGAATCAATACATCTAAGACATGGAAGAATTCCTAATTTACATGCGATCTGGCCATCTATTTTATTGTTTAAATGTCTTCTACAATAATATCAGCTAGATAATTATAATAAAGACAAATATAATAAAAATAGTTGATGCTACTATATATTGCTACTACTACTATCGCCATCACCGCCACTTCATTTTTTTTTCAAGTCAGAAAGTTTGTTTAGAAAGTCACAGAGGTACAGTAGAAGTGAGCAGTAGAAGAAATGGGTTGAAGAAACAAGTTACAGAGGCAAAATAAGGGCCCTTCAGGCTTAGGAGAAAGAAAGGTAAAGGTCACAAGCCTGGGTGGTTGGGGGATAGAAGAGGGGGTGGGGAAAGGCACTGGCGGACTCCCACGAGGGAGAGCCACCTCCCCACCGCTGTCTTAATGAGCACTAGCCACATATGAGGACTTTGCACTCTTCTATAGGCACTTTTAACACAAAAGGCATAAAAAATAGCCTAATGGTTCTCTGCTTAGTAAACAGCAGACCTCCCAGGGTTCTTCTGTGGCCACTAACAACACATTTCTCAGGCTCAGGAGGGCCCTAGTGCCTTTGGCACACCCCTCTGGGGGCTGGGGTGGAGACTGACTGGGAAGAAACAGGAAGGAATGAAATTTCCAAGATAGTGGTAGTGTTCTGTATTTTGACAGGGGTTTACACCACACAGGTGAATGCATCTATCAAAATTCATCTAGTGATCCACGTAATATCTGAGCATTTCATTAAAAAGACAAAAAAACTTTACCTTAAAAAAGAACCATAAACAAGTATTAAACTCTAGTTAATGCTATACTGGCTGAAGTATTTAAGGGTGAACTCTACTAATGCCTGCAATCTTTGAAATGCATCAGAAAAGAAGATGGATTGATGGATAGAAGAGAGATGGATAGATGGGATGGATAGATGAATATGTGGTAAAGTGAATGGTGCTAAATGGTAATTGAAGAATCTAGGTGAGGGATATCTGGGTGTCAACTGCACAGTTTTTTCAGCTGTGCTGTGTGTTTGAAAATTTTCCTAATAAGGGAAAAAAAGAGGAATTCTAAGGCAGAGTTTCTAAGCAGACCCAGTGAGACAGAGTGAGTACATAGAGCTGGCTGTTCACAGGCCTGAATGTTACTCTCCTCTGTGCCAGAGTCGAGGGTCATTTGCCTTAATGGTTGGGCTAACCAGGAATCAATGGTATTGCCTAAACACAGCCAGGCTATATGGCTTTCATAAAGGCCTTGCCCAATGTTTTCAAAACAGGTAAAGAAAAAAATGTCTGCAAACTCCACATACTAGTTACCTCTTTTGCAGCAGTTTGAGATGAGAACTGGAGCTGGCTGGCCTTAGAGACGGGACTGACTCTGTGTTTTCCAAGCTGGGAGGTGGCTGTGGAGCTGGAGGGGCCAGTTGGTTTGGTCCATGAGTTGGTAAAAGGGCAGGCCAAACCAGTTTGTGAAGAAGTGGGCTGCTCGTTCTCTCGAAAAGTGTGCCTGTGCTTTGTCTGTGTTTCCTCTGGAAGCACTAATGGGCTGGGCTTGTTTAGGATACCCTGGGTTCCCAGGGAGGAGGTCGACTCATTTGGCCAGATTCCCTTGCTGGTACCTACCTGCCTATGAGCCTGTGTCCCTTCACAGCATCTCTGTGTCTTCCTGTGTTTTCGTCTCAGGTGATCGTGTTGCCATCGAGCCTGGTGCTCCCAGAGAAACCGATGAATTCTGCAAGATTGGCAGATACAACCTGTCACCATCCATCTTCTTCTGTGCCACGCCCCCGGATAATGGGAACCTCTGCAGGTTCTACAAGCACAACGCCAACTTCTGCTACAAGTTAGTGCCCAGCCCAGCCTTGCCACCTGGGACCTCTGCCTGCTTTTTGTTTGGTGTTCTTTCCTTTAGTTTCCTGCAGTGACTTCTTAGTTCCTTTTAGCTCATAGTTCCAGACAGGAGGCATCCCCACGGTGGGTGTGCCATTCTTAGTGGGTGGAGGGAGGGTAGCCTGAGCAGGGCTGAGACTAACTCACAGTGCTTGGTTTTAGTCTTTCAGTCTAACTTTCCCTCACCAAGAACAGCAATAGGAATATTGTTCCTAAACTCGCTCACTCCTTTCCGGCCATCCTGGTGAAAACTTGTGGTTCACTTTCCCTTACTGGTTTCCACCGCAGCTACAAGAAAGAGAACTTTTAACAACAATGACCTTGATGATAACAACAAACAATAGCAGCAACAATTGGGGTTTTCTGAGGAAGCGAGGAGCCAGTGTATACTGTGGGACCCTGGATCCACTCCTTCCTAGCGAGTAACTTTGGGGAAATGACTTAACATTCCTCTACTGCAGTCTTATTTAATCACCAGGCGATTAAATAAGGCAATACATGTAAAGTCACAATTATTATTACTGTGTGCCTGGCCCGCATGCTAGTAAGTGCTTTACATGCTTTATCTTATTTTACCTCCATAAGAATAATGATAAGGTGGGCACCAGTAGTTCAGTTTAGTGAAAGCGTTAGCAGAGGCAGGAGGAAGCTCATAGACTCGAGCACAGAGCAGAGCCAGGAGTCAAGCTGTGATTCCTGAGCTCCTGCCCTGTGCTTACTTCAGGACCCCAACATTCCAAATGGTTCTGGGGTGAGAAGCTGTGTCTGGCAGAAGCAAACTGCTGCACCTTCTACAAGGCCCCCAGTCCATGGAGCTCTGCAGTGTTGATATGTCACTTTCCTTCTGATTCCTCCCACCCCAGCCTGGCCTCCAGCAGTGGCTCTGTCGGCCAGGAAGGGGCCTGTCCGATGGAGGCCAGAAGATGCTAATCACAGGGCTAGTCTGGCAGATCTGAGTTTTCTAGTGCCCCCTGGAAGCCTTGAGGGAAGTCACAGGCTGGGGACCTCATGATGAGTTTAAGTCCACACCCAAAGCTGCCCTAGAAAAAGATAGGTTGCGTGGGCAGGGTTCACCTTTCAGCAAGTGGTTCCTGAACCACCCCACCTTTCCCAGGCCTTTTCCACCTCAAGGTGCCAACAAGGTTTTTATGGATGGCAGAAAAGCAAAGTGTGAGAGCTTGACACTTAAACACTGGTTTCTGCCATTTGCCAACTGCACAACCCTGAGCAAGTTACTTAAACTTTGCTACCTCGACATCCTTGCCTATAAAATGGAGATGATAAGAGCACTGATGTAATGAAATGCATAGAATTATTGACAAGATTCAATGAGGAAAGCCATATCAAGCACTCAGCTGGAGTCCTGGCACATAGGAGGTGCTCAATAAATGGTGCCATCTTGCTGAAGCCCTGGCCTTGTGTCTGTGGGGGGGATGGTACAGCATTAGCCCTGAAAGTCTTGGGCTGGGGAGGGAGAGGGGTGGTTGGTAGGGAATAGTGGGGGGTGGGCTGTTCTGGCTGGAAGAGGTGATGGAAGGACTGAGAAGGACCTCCAGGGGACATGCCACCCCTACCCCTCCTCTCCTCCTAGGGTACTTTCTGTCCGTGTCCCGAGGCCAACCCTGAGCCAAGCTCTCCTCTCTGGTTTGTGTTTGTGAGGATTTCTTCACTTCCGGTCTCCCATTTATTTATTTATTTTATTTTTTATTTTTCTTAACATTGTAGAGGAACAAGGGGAGGGGAAATGACCAATCTCTTTATTTTTCTCCCCACCTTATTTTTGTTTTATCTTCCTCCTTGGCTTCTCAGTCATTCTTTAACCCTTTTGCCTGTTCCCTGAAGGCTATTGTGAAAACCACCAAGTTGCCTTGTCATTCTCTGGTGTTTATAAAGTCATGGAAGATTAGGGCTGGGAAAACAGAGTCCTCTCATCGCCTCTACCCTCAACCCTCAGTGAACAAGGTTGGGGAAGGAGGACCCAGTAACTCTCCCAAGGTCAGGGGCAGAGGGGCTGGGCCCCAGGATTCCTCCCACCCCTGCCTGGTGCTTCTGCCTCCGGGCTGCTGGCTCTGGCTTCTTCCTTGATAAGGCCTGTGTGATCTGCCTAATCAGTAGAATAAACTCCCAGGTAATAATCCTCTCTTAGCACAATCGCTTTTCTTTTCGGTGTTCTCATTCCAAGGGGAAATCAGAGAGAAGGGGAGAGGAGCACACAGTTCCTGACCAAAAGCCACGCTCAGCCTAGAGCCAGCACAAGCTTAGGGGAGGCTCAAATGGGAAGGGGCAGATGTGTCCGAGAGGGGTGGTTGGGAGGTGCCTGAGAGTTTGGGAGTCTTCATTATTTAATTTCAAACTTTTTTTTCATATGGAGTTGGTGGGGTGGGTAGAAGGAGTGATGAAAGCAATCAGAGCCAGAGGACAGACTGGAGCCAGGAAATACTGTGAGAGAAGCAGAGAGGAGGGGCGAAGGGAAGGGTGCTTGGTGGCAGCCAGGCCACTTGCAGGCCTTGTTATTTATTCTTTGGGGAGTGTGAATAGTGACAGAAGGATCACGGGGATGAGCACATGGTTTGGCTGTCCCCCTGATTTCTTTTTGGAACTTTTTCATGTGGAGGTTTTGGGGCATGGGATAAATAAATACCAGCCAGTTAAGAACTAGCAGAAATTAGATGTTAACTATAGAGCTGCTGGTACCAAGAGGCAGCTGATGTGGTACAGGCAGGGAATCAGGAGACCTGGGTTCACATCTTGCTTTTCCACTCACTAGCATTGTAACCTTGGGCGAGTCTCAGAGTGTCCTTGAGCTGCAGTTTCCTCTTCTGCAGAATAAAGGTAAAAATAAAGCCTGCTCTTCCCACCTGACAAGGTCATGGTGAGGATTAAATGAGATAATGGGTGAGAAAGCTCTCTAATCTGCAAAGCCTTATGCAAATGTTTGCTGTCATCATCAGTAGGATTGTTGAAAGTATCAAGATACCAGTGGACTAGGGATTGAAAACCAAGGACCCAGGGGTGAAGGTGACACAGCATTTCATCAGCTGTGTGTAAAACCGGCTCTCTTCCCCTCTGAACCAGTGCCGGGAGAGCCTGGCGGTGGCTGCCGTTAGGGGCGGCTCCTCTGGAACAGGCTGTAGGGGAAACAATGAACAGAATGACGCCAGCTTCTAAGTCACTGTTTTGCTAAGTTGCTGATAGTCGGGATCATTTGCTAAAGGGACACCAGAAAGGCTCTCAGTTTGAGAAAACAGATGAGATGGTTGGAATGTGACTTCTATATATCTGGCTTCAAATTCAAATCCTTTGAGCCCCTCACTAGTTTTGAAACTTTAGAGCAAGTTATTTAATCCTCCAAGCTTCAGTTTTCTCATCTGTAAAATAAGAATAATAGTACCTACCACAGAACTGTTCTGAGGATTAATATGAGTGAATTTATGTAAAGTGCTTAGCATATTGCCCAGCACATAAATAAATGCTCAAAAAATATTAACTATTGTTATTGTGAACCCAGAGGAATAACTGAGTGTGTTGAATGGCTGCCTCCCCAGGCTTCCTGACAATGTCACCTTTGAGGAAGGGGCCCTGATTGAGCCACTGTCTGTGGGGATCCATGCCTGCCGACGAGGTGGAGTCACCCTGGGAAACAAGGTCCTTGTGTGTGGAGCTGGTAAGAAACAGACAATATCCTGGTATATGAATTTATTAAAGGGGAATGTGGAGTCCCCTCTGCCCATCTCATTTCCCCTCCAAAGGCTGAAATTGGTCCTAGGATCTTTCCAGGTAGGAGAGGATTCCAGTGTCCCATTCTCTCAGTGACCGGCACTTTGCTAAATTAGTATCCGCAGAAATCATATTATTTCGTAGGCAACATAACCCTTTTATTCGTTTAAAGAATGCAACCTGGGATTATTTTCCAACTCTTGACAGGAAACGAGAGGAATATTTTTAATAGTAAGGGGAAGAGCAGCTTTTGGAACTTCCAAATCATATCAGAGAAGTGGCCTTCCCGTCCCACCCAGGAATGTGGTTGGTCCTGCTCACTGCCAGTTAGAGGGATTGAGTCTGGCCCACCTTGAGCCAGCCCTCTGCCTGCGCTGGGAAGCTGCCTTCGCTCCTCCACCTGAACGAACCCTAGCAGCCTCAGACTGAATCATTCTAGACTTCTAACTGTTGGGGACTCAGACAATGTGCTCACGCTCTTTGTGAGTGTGATCTGGTGCTCCTCATCTGCTTGTGGGTTTTTGTTTTGTTTTTGTATCATTGACATATAACATTAGTTTTCCGCATACAATCTAATTATTTGATATTTGTATATACAGGTGACTCATGAACAATGCTGGGGTTAGGGGCACCCACCTCCTGCACAGTCGAAAATCTACTTTTGACTCCCCAGAAACTTTACTAAAAGCCTATTGTTGACTAGAAGACTCATCAATAACAAACAATTGCTTAACACATATTTTGTATGTTATGGATTACATACTGTATTCTTACAATAAATTAAGCTAGAAAAAATTTTATTAAGGAAATTGTAAAGAAGAAAAAATACATTTGTAGTACTGTATGTGTTTATTGGGGAAAAAAATCCACATATAAGGGGACCTGTGTGGTTCAAATCCTTGTTGTTCAAAGGTCAAGTATTGCAAAATGACTACCACACTAAATCTAGTTAACATCTATCACTATACAGAGTTACAAAGTTTCTTATTCTTGGGATGAGAACTTTAAAGATTTACTCTCTTAACAACTTTCAAATATGCAATACAGTATTATTACTATAGTCACTATGCTGAACATTATGTCTGCATGACTTATTTACTTTATTACTGAAAGTCTGTACCTTTCGACTCCCTTTACCCATTTCACTCACTCTCTACCCTCTTCGTCTGGCAACACACCTGTTCTCTGTTTCTATGAGGTTTTTTTATTTGTTTGTTTTAGATGCCAAGTATAAGTGAAATCATATGGTGTTTGTCTTTCTCTGTCTGGCTTATTTTACCTAGTATAATGCCCTTAAAAATCCATCCATGTTGTCACAAAAAACAAGATTTTCTTCCTTTTATGGCTGAATAATATTTCATTCTATATATGCACCCCATCTTTATACATTCATCCATCAATAGACATTTAAGTTGTTTCAGTTATCTTGACTATTGTAAATAATGCTGCAGTGAACATGGGGGTACATATATCTTTTTCAGTTAGTGTTTTCATTTTCTTCAGATAAATACTCAGAAGTAGAATTGTTTAATCATTTAATAGTTGTGTTTTAAAGTTTTTGAGGAACCTTTGTTACTGGAGAGACCTGAGTGAGGGAGCCCCCCCTTTAGTTCTTGTCTCAATCACAAAAGATGAATTCAGGTGAGAGACAGTGTGTATAGTGGAAATGAAATAGTAAGTTTATTTATGAAGTACACTTGAGCATGAAGCTGCAAGTGGGTACCTTGCTAGTCTGAGTGACCTGCCTACTGGGGCTTTAGGGGTTTTATGCTTGTAGCCAGTCTCCAGCCTCCCCCTCCTCCTCCCTTCTCCAGACCTTGGGATTAACATACAGTTTCAAAGGCTTTCTTTCCCAGACAGTGGAAAGAATACATACAATTTTAAAGGCTCCCCTCCTCCTGCACTTATTATGATCTTTCGTATGAACACGTGGCAGTCTTATGTGACTGGGCTCAGACTGCTGAATTAATGGGTCAGACATGGCTCCCTCTCCCTTTCTGCCTTGGTTTGCTATCTATTCTGCCGAACATCTTCATACTGTTTTCCACTGGGGCTGCACCAATTTATATTCCCACCAACAGCGTAAGAAGGTTTCCCTTTCTCCGTATCTTCCCAACACTTGCTATTCCCTTTTCTCCACATCTTCCCAACACTTGCTCTTTGATAACAGCCATTCTAAAAGGTGTGAGATGATATCCCATTGTAGTTTTGATTGGCATTTCCCTGATAATTAGTGATGTTAAACACCTTGTCTATGTACCTGTTGGCTATCTGTTTGTCTTCTTTGGAAAAATGTTTATTCAGATCCTCTGCCTCCTTTTATAATCGAGTTGATGATGATGATGATGCTGCTGCTATTGAACTGTACAAGTTCTTTATATATTTTAGATATTAACCCCTTAATTAATATATGATTTGCAAATATTTTCTTCTATTTGGTAGGTGCCCTTTTCATTTTGTTGATGATTTCCTTTGCTGTGCAGAAACTTTTTAGTTTGATATCATCCTATCTGTTTATTTTTGCTTTTATTGCCTTTGCTTTTGGTGTCGAATCCTAAAATTCTTTGCCAAGACTGATGTCAAGAAGCTTACTACCTATGTTTTCTTCTAAGAGTTTGATAGTTTCAGGTCTTATGCTCAAGACTTTAGTTAGCCCTGGCTGGTATGGCTCAGTGGATTGAGCACCAGCCTGTGAAACAAAGGGTTTCTGGTTTGATTCCCAGTCAGGGCACATGCGTGGGTTGTGGGCCAGATCCCCACTAGAGGGCGTGTGAGAGGCAACCACACATTGAGGTTTCTCTCCCTCTCTCCCTCCCTACGCCTCTGTCAATAAATAAATAAATAAATAAATAACTTTAATCCATTTTGAGTTAATCTTCATACACTCTTTTAAAATTGATTTGAGAGAGAGAGAGAGAAACATCGATTTACTTACTTACTATTGCTTGCTTCTTGTATGTGCCCTGACCAGAGATCGAACCCACAATCCTGGTGTATCAAGACAATGCTCTAATCAACTGAGATACGCAGCCGGGGTAATCCTATATTTTTGTGACTGACTTTTCTTTTGGCAGAGCCAAATAAGGGACCATGGGGCTTCCTAAGTAGGTTGATGGGTATAGAACAGACTTGCTTCAATGAGCCAGCACTGTTGAATTCAGATGACAGATTTTTTAAAAATATATATATATAAGCAATACCTTTTTGCCATAGAAGAAAAGATAAGTCATACACACCACATATGTGCACACGGAAATTCACCCACAGCCCCATCAGCCTGAGAGAATCACTGTTAACATTTTGGTGTAGAACCTTACTTTTCTTTCTTTCCTTCTTTGTTTGTTTGTTTGTTTCTTTCTTTCTTTCTTTCTCTCTCTCTCTTTAATGAGATCATGTTGAATACGCTTCTTTTTTACTTTTAAAAAAATATATTGTGAACATTTTTTTCATGTCAGTAGAGAAAAGAGTTATGACATAATTTCTAATAACTGTGTGGTATCCCACAGTAGTTTATTTAACTAATCCCTTTGGTTGGTCATTTCAGGTATTTTCCATTGTTTTACTTTCTAGGGTAACTCACAAAACTATTTTCAAGGGGAGTGTTCAAAAAGAAAATCCCCAAAGATTTTCTGAATAGCCTTATTTTGTGGGTCTGATCTTTGTGTTAAGACCACATATCACTAGCAGGTATATACAGCAGGGAAGCAGGTGGTCTCCAGGTTGATTCTTAGTCACCTGAACATCCTGGGGATGCCTGAGCAGCTGCCCCAACCAGAGAGCCAGCTGACTTAAGGACAGTCCAGGGTTGTTCTCGGCGGACACCTATAAATAATATGTCTTTCCTTGGGGAGGTGCGATGGGTCAAACAAGAAACAAGGGGCAAAGAGAGACCTTCTGAGATGACTTCTCCTCTGATAAAATGTTTTCTTGAGTCCTCTGGTTCTTTAACATTATCCTCCAGCAGGGCCCAAGAGTAAGTGGAAAATTTATAGCTCTGTCTTAGGAGAGAATCAAACAGGACCCAGCCCTATGAACAAATTTTATATAGAAAACAATTCCTCATGCATTCAACAAACAGTGGTTAAGTTCTCATTTTGTGTCAGGCTCTGGGATAGATCCTAGAGGTATACAATAGAGATGGTTCTTGTTTATAGTCTAGACGGGCGGAAGAACTGATGTTTCATATTTCACAAATGTCTCCCATTTCCTTCTTTATTCAGGGCCAATTGGACTGGTCAATTTGCTTGTGGCCAAGGCAATGGGTGCGGCTCAAGTGGTGGTGACTGGTAAAGTTTTTTTTCTTTTTAAACAGCTGTGCCCATAGTTTAAGGCAGAGGCATAAGACCTATTTCCTTCAGAGGTACTTTAGTACTAAAGAGGTTCCTCCTCCTTTCTCCTGGTTCCAGGGTTGAAAAGCTCACCCAGGGGATGACCAAGTCAGGGTTCAGGAAGAGACTTTGTAAAGCTGCTGGGAGAGGGTTGGCTGCTGCAGAGAAGAGGACCTGGCTCTCTCAGTGTGGACCTGAGATGCGCATACTGCCTACTTGGTCCTAACGGGAGGCTCAGCCCTTGCTTCATTTGTCTAAATCCAGGAGAAAGAGGGTGTGTGTGTGTATGTGTGTGTGTGTGCGCGCGCGCGCATGCACACATGGTATTAGTGTAAAGTATATTTATGAGAAGATGTTTGTGTACGAGATGAGCGAGAGATGAATGTTCACATGTGAGGTGAGGTTATCCAACAGCGTGTGTGGGTGTGTTTGTGGAGTGGTATAGTATATATGGCAGCACGTTGTGATCAAAGAGCGTGTGTATGTACAGGAGGCATCTGTGTGAGAATGTCTGTGTGTGTGAGGTATCTGAGAGTGTGAATATGTGTGAGACGACGTTACCTGTGAGTGCGTGGGGGTGAATGTGTAGAGTTGTGTGGTATACAGGTGTGTGTGAATGAACGGGGGAGTGGGAATGCAGAAGGGTGTTTGTGTGAGGAGACGCTATCAGAGAGAGAGTATGTGTATAGAATGTACCTGTGAAAATGTGTGTGTGTAGAAAAGAAGATATCTTTGAGGATGTGTGTGTAGATGTGTGTATGGGGCTGTGTGAATGTATAGAAAGTATGTGCACTGGGCTCTGCAATGCCACCCACTGCACCAGAGTTGCATTGCCATCAGAACCTGCACCTCCATTTTTATTTTCTCCCGAATGCTTCATCCAGTTTCTCAAACCTTTTTTCAACTTTAGATCTGTCTGCCTCTCGGTTGTCTAAAGCCAAGGAAGTTGGGGCTGACTTCGTCCTGCAGATCTCCAAGGAGAGCCCTCAGGAAATTGCCAGTAAAGTGGAAGGTCTCCTGGGGTGCAAGCCAGAAGTCACCATCGAGTGCACTGGGGCAGACACTGCCATTCAGACGGGCATCTACGTGAGTGGGATGAGGGCAGCTGAAGCTGGTGGGTGGCTCTGGGGAATCCACGCAGGATAGTGAACTGAGTAGAAGTCACTGGTCTTAGGATCAAGCTTGTCCACTAACTCGTTCTGTGGCCTGGCTCTGGCTAAATTAAGTGATCTCTTTGGATCTTTGTTTTCCTATCCCTCCAGTGGAGGTTGGCACATTTGCCTAACATTCTCACTGGGTCATTATGAGGTTTCAACAAAGTAACAGATACATACAGTCCTTGAAGATAAGTGACCCGTGCCTTTAGGATACGGTTGCTCTGATAGCAGTCACAGCTGTGATCATAAAAGTATGCTTTTGATAAAAGGATCAACAAGAGGAACAAGGAACCGTGTCTTAGTTAAGTATGGGAATTCCCTGCTGTGTTTTATTGAGGAAAACTCATCTTTGAGTCATTTATACAAAGTGGCAGCCACTAATTCAGTTAGTCACAAAGTTGAAGTAATGTTTAGTCAGTTAGCTACTGCTAATCTCATGCAGAATTAGGAACAGATAAACTGTCAATACCCGATTCATCCCTCATGGACTCACTAGTAATTTATGAAAAGATGGCAGGGAGGTGGAGAGGGGAAGTGGCATCCCCAGATCAAAGTATGAAGAAAAGAGGGGAGAAAGAATATGTTCCAGGTTCCAAGCCCAGTGCTTTATAAATGTGATGCCCAATCTGCACAGTAGCCATGAGATTAGTCATCATCTTCCACATTTTACAATGAGAGGCCCAGTGCCGGCCTTGAGCACACTACTCCGATGCCTGCACTTTTCTTACTCTGTCCACTGCTTAGGAGAGAAAGGAGGGAAGGAACAGGGAGCCAGTGGGCCACCGTGCTAGGGTGGGAGGGGCGGGACTGGGGAGTGCAGTGGTGACAGTTGCCACCGCTGGGCACCCCTGCCCGGCCTCCCAGACTGCTTCCCTGTGGCAGTTCAGGCTTCCTCCTTCCTTCTGAGTCACAGCTTGGTCATGTACAAGGGCACTTGGCACCATGCAAGACGTTCTGTGGAAAGCCGAGCGCTTGAGCTCTGTGGCATGGCCCTCGGGGCTGGCACCCTGGCAGAGCTGCCAAGATACCCATGGCATCAGGGGCAGAGTGAGTGGTTGGAGGAGCAAGGAGCAGATGGTCTCCTTGCTCCAGGCCAAAGAGAAACCAAAGCTCAGAGGGAAATGGGTGTGGTCAGTCCACATCATGTCTCGGGTACCTGTGTGCCCGGCTTTGTGCAGGGAACCTCGAGGGCTATGATAATGAGTAAGGTATGTCTGTTGTCTTCAAGTTATTGAAAGGTCAGTGACTACATTCACAGAGCAGTTGAAGACATGGCTTCTCAAGGCGAGGCTTCCCTTCTTCTTTTTTCCTGCCTGGAAAGCATCTGGGACAGCTGGCATCTCCAGCTTTAATGGTGGGGGCCCAATTCCCAGGCTACCCAAAATGGGCGAGGAGGTAAACGTGACCCACGGGCCTCACCAGGCCTGAGCCCTGCACCTCTCTTGAGTGTAGTGTGGAGCCATCATGCATGACAGGCGCTGTAGAATGCGACAGGCCATCCCGTCAGCAGGAAGGTTAGGCAGGGGCACCTTATATGGATATACCCGAGAGTCATTTTTCTGCCAGATCATGACTGAATAATGTTTGTGAGGAGAAGTGGTAACTGCTTAGGGTAGAATCGATGTCATCTCCTTGGTGCCGGGGTTACACCCACCAAACATTGGGCAAGTAGTCCAAGCCTTCCTTTGTCTGTGTTCAGCAAACTGCTGGCCTCCTGGCAGCTTGGGATGGCCAGTCTGACCGTGTTGCTCCTCAGCAGGTAGAGAGGAAATGCTGATAGGGAAACAGTTTTCCTAGAAAATTTTTCAGTTGAGTTTTCCGTGGCACACTCACAACTTTGACCACTCTCCCCTACATTTCCGGTGGAGACAGCAACATTTTCCAGCCCTTCCCCTTACCGACAGGGTTCATATACCACAGAGGTTCCCATGCCAAGCAATGAGCCACGCTCTTGCAGACGGAGCACTGTGATTGGTGCCCCCAGCAGCCCTGCTGGGGAAGCATCCTGTTCTTACACAGGAGGAAGCTGGCTGTGAGGGCCCCGTCCAGGGCCCCCCAGTTCAAAAGTGTGGATGCCAGAGTCACCCCTTTGCTGCAGGGCTCTCTCCATGGTGTATTCTTCCCCTCAGAGAGAGGGGCTGGAACAAATTGTCCATTTTTCTGCCTCCCACAACATAGAGCGCAGTGATCCCCCACAATCTCTGGTGCAGACATAACACCCAAGAGTTATGTGAAGGTTGTCAAGAGAAACTTCACTCTCTGGCCTGCTCCCGGAGGGAACTGATAAGGCAGATAGATGTTCAAGGAAGACAAAATTCATTATGAACCATACTATCGGGATGCATGTCTCTGGAACAAAGATATTTCTAAATGCCAGCTTGCATATAGAAGGAATTTTTTTAAACCACAGAATTCTAGTAGCCCTCCCCATTTGTATGGTGTTTAGTAGTTTTCTCACCAAGAGGGTGGTTCCTTAGAGGTTTTACAAAAGTCCTGTCTTGTGGAGTGGGCACTCTGGAGGAGGAACAGGTGCTGAGATGAGGAAGTAGCTGATGCCAACATCTAGTATGAATCGGTAAACCTTTGAAAAGTGCTCGGGGGCTGCTGAAAATCAGTCTTGTTTGTAGGGTAGATTCTCACTGAGGCCTGGAGAACCTTGGCTATTCAGTGGGACGTTGTGGACAGCGGAAGGTGCTCCCACTGTGCCTGGTCCTCCAGTGGTGAAATACATTATTTCAGGGTCTTTAGAGAAGACAGTATTTACTCTGCTGCTCTATGGGGTGTTGGTTGCTCTGATGAAGAGTTCAGCAGCATAGAAAGTATCACTTCCTGACATTTTTGGATACTCACCTGTTGTGATCAGGAGATACTTGTGTGACAGCAGTGTTGCTGTGAGTGGGAAGTCTGCATTTTCCTATCCTCCAGGTTTTCTTGTTCTTCCTCCTCAGGCAACTTGTCCTGGTGGGACCCTGGTGCTGGTAGGACTGAGTTCTGACATGACCACGGTGCCCCTACTGCATGCAGCCACCCGGGAACTGGATATCAAGGGCGTGTTTCGATACTGCAACACGTGAGTGTGTTGTGGGGGAGTGGGGTGGCGAGTGCCCAGCAAGACCAGGGCCGGCCTCTGGGACCAAGAGTCTCTGCCTGCTTATTCATGAGGAGCTGTCCCTGGCCACATGGATAACCATGCGACATGACAGGGGTCCAAAGAGAGGATGTAGGGAAGGCAGAAACAAGGGGCAGGATTTTGAAGCATACCCTTCGTGGGTGTCTGCCACTCCTATCGCAGGCCCTCTTTTTTCCACTTACTTAAGTGGCCCCATAGCCATTTTCCTCCTTCAAAGGAAAGAAGGAGAGAAAGGACAACAGTAAGAACTCAAGTCCCTTGGCTTCCAGCCCAGAGCCCCAGGCCCACCCTAGGAAGTGAGAAGGTCTTAATTCACCCCAGTGCACATTCTGAGGCTCCACCCGCTCCCCTCAGCCAGTTTTCCAGTCAGCTCTCTCAAGAAGAGCTGCTAAGGGGTGAAATTGGGTTATCCTGGCCTCCCAGAGGCTTGTCTGCCTTTTCACAGTGGCCTCCAGAGGCCTCCGGCCTTCATACCAGAAAAGGCTTCAGTGGCAGACATTGTAGAAGAGTCTGGGGGCATTTGGGAACAGGCTCCGTGCTCTTAAATTACGAGTCGTTAGATCATTTCTACGCTTTTTGGTCTGTAGAATTGACCTGGCAGAGCCACAGTGCTGTAAATAAATATGGCCAAGCTGGCATTGTGCTTGATACTTTGGGGGACCTGGCTCTTCCCTCCTGAAGTTTGAATGTAACCCTTGTGATCTTTTCCAGATGGCCGGTGGCGATTTCAATGCTTGCATCCAAGTCTGTGAATGTAAAATCCTTAGTGACCCATAGATTTCCTCTGGAGAAAGCTTTGGAGGCCTTTGAAGCATCCAAAAAGGGATTGGGATTGAAAGTCATGATCAAGTGCGACCCCAACAACCAGGATCCTTGATGTTAGTTGGGCTCTGCCCTCATTCCGACCCTCTCAGCATCTCGGGGCTAAATAGCTGGGCAAGGGCAGGCTTTAAACAGAAGTTTCTTTTAATTAGCAAGAACAATTAAAATGATTCATTACAAGCAGAGAGCCTTCACAGCCAAGTTGGTGCACCTTGGAAACACAACTAGGGACAGTTTTGGGGGAACTTGTAGCGAGATTGACCTGTTCATGCTGAGCAAAGTTCAGCAAGTGGAGCAGAGCTTCTCGACAGGCAGGTGAGGGAAACTCCCCTTCTTCCTGGAGTGCCTGAGTTGAATAAGGGATGAAAATCTGTTGAGTTCCTGGTTCCACTATGACTATGGCCAGGCCAGGTGGGGGATGGGGCCTGAGTTATGAAGAGACAACTTTATCAAGAAGACTTAACCTGCCCAGAAACAGATTTTCATGAAAATCTGTAGCTCGGGGTCTGAGATGAGGGGCTGTCAGCCGTTTTAGTTTAAAACACAGTGTTTCTAGATATGGGTGTTCCTTGATTTGATGGCTAAAGGAGAATAAGACACTGAGCTTCCTGTGTCTAGGGTAATTATAAAATCAAAAACAAACAAACAAGTAACATCAAAATCCCTTATGAGGTCAAAGAGCTTGCATTCCCCAGCTGTAGAAATAGGGAACTTCTCAACACTGCTTGAAGAATGCCTCTTTTTCAACCCCTGAGAATTCTGTGTAATTTATTTGCACCCTCTTAATACCCTCTACTCCACCCTTCCTTCCACTGTTCAGAGGCAGCCACTGCGTGCTTCTTTGTCACTAGGCAACCAGGAGACACACCTACCTAAGGATAGTCAGGAGGAGTCCTCGCGGGAGACCTTAAGTTAAACCTTGCCATTGATCAGCCCCAGCGGGTTTGGTCCATGCACCACAGAATAGCATCTGCTTCTAGGCCCAGACTTATGCTTGATTATTATACAACGCCATGTAACTCCGGTAACCCTAAACAGAAAACCGTTCCCCTTCTCATAGCCAGTTAAGACTCTTGGTATCATTCTGTCTGAATGGTATCTCTAAATTGTGATGTTATTTTAATTTTACTGTGTAAGGGTTGGGTCCAATCACATTATGTTGATCTGTGACTTTAAGATTATTAGTCAAGAATGAGGATGTAGTAGCTGCAACATAAGCAAGGCTGCAGGCTTTCATTCCTTCACCTCAGCCTGGCGTGGAGGGTGGCTTAGAAGAAGTTCTTGTGACCAGGGGAGGCTGTGACCAGTGCCTGGAATTCCTCAAACTGCCTTGGGTAATAAATTCTGCTTGTAGTGCCTGGCTGCCGGCGTGATTTGTGCCTCTGTTTAGGGAGGAACGGACTTGGGTGTATCATTTCACAAAGGGAAACAAAGATCCAGGATTTTGACAGTGGCACATTTTGTGCATCGAATGTCATTTCATTGACTGTTGGAAATTTATATTAATGATTCTCCAATCCTCACAGCCAGCCAAATACATATGATTATTTTACAGCTAAGGAAACAGAGAAATCAGGAGATTTGCTCAAGGTCACACACTATTCTTTCATCATCTCTGGAGGAGGGTTGGATCTTAAGACTTCTGTCTATACACAACACAAGCGCTCAGCAGCCACATGGCCCACTGTGCTTGCCTCTCGTGAGTCCTGTTTAGCTCCAGGGCCAGACTTGCCAGCTGTCTTCTCTCAAAACTCTCCTTCCAGCTCAGTGATGCCCAAAGTTCTACCACCACTGAGCTTCTCATGTGGAAAGAGAAAGGCTTCTAGATGGAAGGCTTCCAATAGAAATGCCCCTAAAGGAGGTGTACTTACTGTGTTAAATTCACAAGTAGCCACTTTTCCTCTGATTGTGATTTGGTGGAGAGAGGAGGCCACTGAACCTGAAAGAGACTTAGGAGCTGCAGAGGCGCCCCTGGAAAGGTAGAGCTACCAAGGATAAATACATGTGTCACTTATTACACAACAGTGATTGGGCTGGATCAATGTCTTGGAGCCTCGATTTCCCAGTCTGTTAATTGGGCTTCGTGAGGCCTGCCATGTGGGCAGTTTGGAAGAGTGAATGGGCTGACTCTGAAACAGTAGTTCAGGAAACAGTTCCCCTTTCCAAATCCCCCGAGAAGCTCTCAAGCTACTGTGGTGTTTTGTCGCTTCCCAAGCAGGGGCAGAGAGGGTGACAGGGAAGGCGGTGGTGTGGGTGGGCCGCCGAGTCAGTCCTTGGGGTGGTGAGAAGGCCCAAGCCGGTATTCCTGAGCTGTTGCCGGGCTCCCTTGCCTCTGCATCCCCTGAAAGGGGCTGCAGGAAGCCCAAGAATCCATTCCTCCCACCTCCACTAAGTGCTCACTAAATAGTGATTAACTCAGTGAATCTCTCCCGGAACCAAGAATATAAATTCCCTATGATTTCCCCGACCTTGGGTGGCCCAGCCAGCCTCTGTGTGCTCTGTCAGGTGCCCAGTACCTAGTTCACTTTCTGTCAACACTAGGGACCCCACCCAGCTGGCACTCCCAGCTCCGGGTAGGGTGTAAGGGTGGAGACCTGGGAGGAAGGTCCCTGCAGGCAAATTAGAGGATGGAAGGGGGAGGCTGCCCCACGGTCACCAAAGGAGAAAGAGGGCTCAAGGGGGCTCAGCCCCAGCAACTCCTACTTGCCATCCACCTTTGCTACAGCAGATGCTGACATGAAATCACCTCTGGTCTCCCACCCCCGGTTCTCAGGCCATGCCAGACCTGTGTAGCACAGTCCTGCTTCTTCCTTCCTGGTTCCTGATTTGCTCCCTGTAGGAGAGCAAAAGAGGTCAGTAGGAAGTCGGTTGGCCCAGAGGTTAGGACTGGGGAGGCAGATAGGATTACTGGGTATTTATCTTTCCCTAGAACTGTCCCCTGCTGATGATCTCACCCTAGGCTTGGAGTACCGAAGTTTATCTGCTACAGCAGGTGCTAACAAGAAGTCACCTCTGGTCTCCTACCCCAAGTTCTCAGGCCACGCCAGACCTCCTCTGTAGCACAGTCCTGCCCCTTCCTGGTTCCTGATTTGCTCCCTGTAGGAGAGCAAAGGAGGTCAGTGGGAAGTTGGTTGGCCCAGAGGTTAGGAGTGGGGAGGCAGGTTGGATTATTGGGTATTTACCTTTCCCCGGAAGTGCCTGTGTACACAATCTCAGCCTAGGCTTGGAGTAGAGAAACCAAACAGGGGCTACACCTCTTGGTGGCAGGCAGGTCTCTGCTGTCCCTGTCCTCCTCCACACACTGAGGTCCTCCAGGGCTCAGGGAAGAACAGGATGGATAAGGAAGCAGCAAGGAAGCAGCTTGGGTAGGAGTTCATTGCCGGAGGGAAGTGCCTTCGAGACAGCAGCAGATGCTCTCTGGCACAGCCACTGCTTTATAGGAGCTGCATGGTGATACTCTCATGGCCTCTGCCCCTCACCCCCTACCTCCCCTCTCCCCTTAAAGCCCTGGCTGAGTTCAGACATTGAGGTCCTTCCCTGGGCACCTGCAGAGACATAGGATGTGCAGGTGAGATCGCTCACTGGATTTTATCCGCCCTGGGAGCTTGCTGGGGATTGCTGGGGTGGGGAGAAGCCTGTGTCCTCTGGTCTTGGACCCATGAGGCCCATGAGGGGTAGATGGAAAAGATTTGACATTAGGATTCCTGAGTTCTAACTAATCCTGGGTCCACCACCAACTGACTGTGATTTGCCAGGTCACTTCAATCTGAACCTTTGTTTTTTATCCCTTAACAGAAGGGTTTGGCTAAATCAGTGATTTTCAATAGGTAAGCCACAAGAATTTTTAAAACATGCAATACATGACTATTTAGTCAGGGGCACTGACCTCTCTTCTTAGATTGTAAAAAAAAAAAAAAAAAAATGACAACAGTCAATACAATAGTAGCCATTTGGCATGAGTGAATCGAAATTATACCTAATTTTTTTTTGTCAGATCAGCAAAACATGTAATTTTGTAACTGAACGCAGGTCCAGCTTCCTGCCATGACAAAGGCCAATACTTGAGAGGCAGGTGCTGTTGTAAAGGAAAGTGGTTTATTTTCAGATGCCGGCCATCTGGAGGATGGGGCACTCATGCCTCAAAACCCATCTCCGCATCTCAGTAGAGGCAGAGTTTTTTATAAGGCGGGGGCGGGGGGTGAATAGAACAGAGATCAAGGGGAGGTTGACCAGCACAGTCCACTCCAATAAGTCAAGTGACAGTCCTGTGTGCGTCATCTGGCTTCACGTCATCCTGGCTTCGTGTCTTCCTGACTCCACATATCTTGATTTTATGGTTGAAGGTCAGCAAATTTCATGGACTTGGGATGCCTGAAGGGTGGAGTATGTATCTCTTACAGTTCCTAGGAATTCATAATTCCTAAGAATCTCATACAAACATGCTATTTATCTACAAATTACATAAGTCAGAGTTAGCACTTACAGAAACGTCAAAAGAGATCAAGGGAGGAGGTTGAAAAGCTCTCTATGTTCAGAGTAGCACAGCCCATTCCAATAAAGCAAGTGACAGTCCCATGTGCATCATCCTGGTTTAGCTATCCTGGCTTCACGTCTTCCTAGGAACGTGGTGGGGTGGGTTAAAATTTCCCACCATTACAATTTTCCACTGTTAGTTTTCTGGTGTGCTGCAGAATTTTAGTAATTAGTTTGTGTGTGCCACAAGATGAAAATGTTTGAAAATCGCTGGGCTAGATGATCTTAAGGTCTTGGGGACTAGGGACTGAGGACTTTGTTGTGTGGTGTCCCTCAGGACTGAGGTGTGAGGGGCCTTCTTGGGTTTTGGTTCCCAACCAATGTGTGTATGAAGGGGTAGCCTGAGGGGGCAAGGGCAGCCTATGGAAACTCCTGTGTCCTGGGCATCACCTTGCTCTGCTCCTTAGCTTCAGTCTCCAGGTGTGGTCCTGAGGGGTTCTGCACATCCCAGAGCTGGGCCTGGGAGGCCTGGCCTTATCACTAACTTCCCTGCTGTTGGCCACTGCCTGGCCTCTCTGTGCCCCACCTAGGACCAGAGGCAGAGGCAGAGCCTGGCTGGTTGGGGTAGGGTAGCAGTTCATCCACAGTCAGGAGGGAGCAGTGGGAAGAAGGGCCCCTTCTGGGTTCAGCACCACTGAGGCATGGTGTAGGTGCAGCTCCCTCGAGACCAGCTCTAGTCTTCAGAGGGGTGACACTGAAGCCCCGTGGGTCCTGCTGTGAACTCACAGGCCACCAGCTACCACCAGCACTGAACCACCAGCTACCAGCTTCTCCCACAAGCCTGTCTGAACTCCTCCTCCCTGGCAGGAATTCCAAGAGGCTCTTCAGGTTACCAGGAGATAATAGTAACAGTTCTTCCCCATATCATACAAGTTTGTACATTGTTCAGAAAATAAAGGAAAGTAAGTAAAGAGAATATAAGATCAGCCATATCCTATTTTCCAAGGATGGTAATAACTTAGAGTACTTCCTTCTAGTTTTTCCCTGTGCATTTATATATATATATATATATATATATATATATATATATATATATATATATATATGGTACAATTACAATCAGGAATGGGAATTACTTTACTCACTTTCCATTTTCACTCCTAACAGATAAGGGCTTTTATTGAACAATCATACTTCCCATTAAGGAAATTAATACTTCCTTCATATCATCTCATACCACAGCATCTCAAGTCCTGTTTTCCTTAATTATCTGAAAAAATGTGACTTTTTAATACTTGGTTTGCTTGAATCAGGATTCAAACACATTGCATGTGGTTATGTCTCTTAAGCTGTTTTTAATCTATTATAGTTCCTCCTCCATTTTTATTTTAATAACATTATTATGTTGAAGAAACTGTCCTACACATACTGTTTTGCATTTGTTTTCACTTAATAAAGTCTTGATTTTCTTTCAATGCCAATAATTACAGAGTGGGGCAAAAGCAGGCTTACAGTCATTTATATGGGAAATAATACAATAATTAATAAATAATATAAGGATAAAGTCTGTTTTGCATACTTACAACTGTAAACCTACTCTTGCCCCATGTACATAAACTATCATTTTTAACCATTACTGTATATCCCATTGTGTGGATGTACTATCATTTATAAAGCAAATCACAATATTCTGTTATTTGGATAGTGGCCATGGTCTTATGATAAAGATGTTATGACTATCCTTGTGCCTACATTTTTACACCTGTCACTTATTATTTCCTTAAGTTATGTTTTAGAATGAAAATAGTTGGGTTGAAGCATATACACTTTTTTTTTATTTTTTTAAGAGTTTATTTTTAGAGAGAGGGGAAAGGAAGGAGAAAGATAGGGAGAAAAACATCGATGTGA